ATAAAAAAGCATTTGGGAGCAGAGTTATTGTCTTTGATAAGTAAAGATATGAAGGTATTCCCTGACCTTAATCATAATAATGGTCACACAGCTGGTGCTCATTCAGTAATCAGCTGAATATTGTTTGCTTCAATTTGGCAAACTGAATAACAGATGGTTGCATTAATCGTTTTTGTGCAAACCACTGCTATAACAATGTCATTTGGATCATATTAAGAGCAATTTTTGCTTTTGTTTTGAATGACAATTTGTGTCACGGTCTTTTTGGAAACACTTTAATGCATTTTCTTGATCGGAGGAATTCTTCTTTGTGTCCACGATCCTTCAACCACATGCATCCGTCCATCTCAAATGCTAGCGTTGCATAACTAAAGCTGATGGACGTTTTAATGTACGCCCACACGCTGTGGCGCCCTATGTCTTCAATTAGTAGCTGCACATGCTCCGTCTCCATCCCTTTAACTGACCCGGGTTAAGATATCTGCACCATCTGCGTGCAAAAAAAATACAAAATTCAACATTTAACTATCTGTAAAAAGACAGCAAGTGTTGCACAATCTTCCTGAATTCAATATCCTGTCCATTTCCTAAAGCTTGGATCTAAGGTGAGACCTTATATCCAGGCTTTAGTAGAAAAATGCTCTTCACAGGCTCTTTGGATTGTTGGACAACTCCATTTATTCCGCATTTGCGAATGTCTCCCGATGACAGCTTGAGGGGAGAAAATGGAAATGATATTGACTTAAATGACTGCTAATTCATCTCAATATGTGGATGGAACAAAGTGCCATTGTAGTTGCTTGACAGGTTATTTGTACTTCTGCTTCACACAGGAGCGGTTTAAAGGGTGACGTGCACTTCAGTGCACGCAGTTGACATGTTCAGATGGATATCTTGATTCTTGGCAAAAAAAAGAGATAAAAGAGTGGCTACAAAGCCATTATTAAGGAAGGAAAACAGTGAGAGAAGGTTGAGTTCACAAGTTTTGGATGTCCTTCAAGAAGCCTGTAAAACGATAACTGAAGACTACCTAAAAAACGGACCAATGCTGACTTTAAAGTTCATTAGAATGAATAAACACTGTTTTTATCTTATACACTATATTTCATGAATGATTTCACATATTTCAATACGTTACACCATCCTGTTTTCCTTAGAAAATATGAACATGTATTACATATACACATACATACTGTATTACATATTTTACATGGTTAAATTGAAGTCTTATTTATTCAAGTTATTATGTTATTGATTAAATGTTAAGAGCTTGTGAGTAGTCTCACAAAAATGTATTTTTCTCAGTTAGGTACTCTTAGACCTTTCTAAGTTTCCAGATTACAGCTTTTACGACAAGACTTATTACAGCTTTTCCTAAACGAGTCACGACATCACTAAAATGTACTAAAATGGCATTTCTTTGTTTTTTGCGGTAGCTGTAGTTTTATCCTTTTTTAGCTTTTACTCACATCTTGTTAAATAAAGGCTATTTTGTTCATGTGTTAAAACTGGCCCCGTCATGATTTGGCTTTCCAAAGAGAGTCACTTTACAACAAGGCCCTCCTGCTCCTGGGAACAGTGAGGGAGATGCCTTACAATCATCCCGATCACCACAGAAACCAGAACCCTCATGTAAACATGTTGGCACATCTCCCAGTGATGGCGTATAGATTCCCCCCCCCCTTTCCTAACAGTTCGTCTGCACTTGAATAAATGGCTGAACCAAACCTGTTGTAAAACACGACCATTTGTTGTCAGTTCTTTATTGCACGGAGCGTGTTAATAGGGGGGTGTTTGCATGGGCTCTGCAGGGTCATGTTCCAACAGATTTTGATGTTATCAAAGAGTCTGCACAGCAAAGTTTAGCATGAAATCAAGTCTTTGCACTTTCCTCCTTTGCTGCTATTCATAGTTTGAAATGGAAAGTATAAAACAAAGCTACAGAAATACATGAGAGTATCTCCACACTTCTGAGCTTCTAGCTTCTGTATTAGTTCAAATTCCACCCTTTGTTGCTCCTGAGGTCCTGATTTGAAAAGCTATACGTGTACAGGATTCTTGCAATCTGTGAGCCCAATTATGACTGTCAGTGAAACCTCACAAAGGTTTGAGATCTTTAAGGCAGCCTCGTACATGACAGCGGGGAAGCTGAACTATGTAATTCCATCCTGTCTTTCAACAGGTGCCTCTGAAAACACAATGGCTTGCCAAGCAGACAGAGAAATATGCCTGAATGCTGGTTTTAGTCAGGTATTTGGGCCTTTGGAGACGCAACATATTCCTTGGCAGGTGGTTGTAATAAGAGTAACACCTTACAGGAATATACCTGATACACTGTTGGGGATTCCTGTCCTCCTTTGCAGCGGCCCGGACCGTAAATCATATTTAATGTCACCAGACACGAGGAATGTGTAGTGAAAGTGTGTAATTGCTGCAACATAATGAAGGGGTTGACCTTAAAGTGCTGTGGCCCAACACGTGACTGGAATGTTTTCACCCTGTGCAAATCCATTAGCAGACGATAACTTTCAGTTTTTCTGTCTTTCTTTTTTTTTGTTTTTGTTTGTTTAAGGGTATAAAAGTGTAAAAAACACACTTAGACACATTAAAACCAAGTCTTTCCAGGCTTTTTTTCTTTCCCACAGCCTGCTCTTAGTTCTTTTCATTTGCTACAAGCCATTCAATGAAGTCTGGTTTCGTATCATAAAACTTTAATACCCGCTCATCAAATGTGATTAGCCACCAGATCGGTTTGATGATGCCAGCAGCGCACAATAACAAACTCACCATCACTTCACCCCTTGGAAATCCCATTTAGAAGGACTTAAGTTCAGGAAGTTTGTATTCTGATACGAACAGCACCCCCTGAAACAAACCCTGTGTTTCCATCGTTTTTCATTTGTCCCGAAACATGTCGAAAATTGCAGTACTTTACTCCGGCTTGTGAAAGCTGCCAAAGTAAATGTTTCATTGGACTCGACATGTTTCTGAAGGCGTGTCGGCGACCGTAATTTGGCTGAGGAGTCATAGAGAGGCAGTTAAGTTGTTAATCTGAGCGCCAGCATCTGTCTGGCATGGCGTCCCGAGTGTGTCGGCAGCAGAGTGGAAATGACGACCGGCCTGAAAACACACGCCGGGCAGCACAGTGACTTCTATTGTTTTCTTTAACTCTAGCTCTTCATCTTGCGTTGGCATGTTGGCATGAGCGCAGGACCCTCAGAAACAATGGCCTTTACAGTAACTGAAATCCACATTTGACCAAACTGGTGCTCGGTCCAAGAGAGCTTTGGCTATTGTGGTGAATATAGCAAAAGGAATTGGGGGATGTGCTCATTTTTATGCCCACATTTGATTTGATTTAGTCCCTTCAGATAATTGGGGGATTTTATGGAAGGGGACACGTCACTCAGGCTGGAGTTTATCCAGCTTTTTTAACAGAAATAGTCATATTCTTGAGGCTTCTCGATGGCATGATATTGATTTTATATATCTGGAAGGAGAAAAGCAAAAATGATGATCTCTCTGCAGTTAAAATTCCCAAAACACAAAGTTGACAATTAATCTAATGATCTTATAGCTGGCTCATTATTCCATAAACATGTGTCCTATCATGGAATGTTGTCTTTCTTTGTCATGGCCCCCCCCGAGTCTGCAGTTTCATGCAGGTTTTGGTAGCTTTATGTGTTCTTATTCTGATCCTCTGCTATGTCTGTGAAATGGCATTTGCACCTCATAAATGACAAACTAAAAATAAAACCTAGTATTAGAAACACTCAGATGAGTCATTGTCCTAGCCTCTATATATATTCACGGAAAACAATTATATCTTTTTTTGTGTGTTTGTGTTGGTTACTTTTAAATACCAGAGCTAAACACAATATTTGAATTAGAAATAATGTGGCACTCTCTAGCCCCACAGTTTCATGGGCAATATTACTACACAAGTGCTCTGAGCCTGAGCTAAACGGGACCAGATGTGACTCAGAAGCATGGTCTTTGTTTTCCCTCGTGCAGTGGTCGATGGGAGCATCACACTTCCCCAGACAGGCCGCAGCAAATTGATCTTCCTCTCAGATAGACGAGGATCATAGTTCAGGACACTGTACTCCTTGAGGGATTTCTTTTCTTTCTCTTTAAGGAAAACTTGAGCAGCAAATAGTCTTTTAGAGTGTAATTATGGATTTAACTGTTTAAAGTGGAAGGGTGAAAGTTGGACAGCTGTTTATTAAGTGCAGTTTTGCTACCACCATTGACTGAAAAGTTGCCTTAAATGCAAAAGGAAATGCACGCCGAACAGTATATAACGTTTTTCCAGTTCTACAGAGCTTAAAAGTCGACATTTGAAGTTACCTTTATGCTAACTTGCATAGCATTTATTATTTTGTCAAACTAATGAAATTGTTCCACAGAAGTTGGAGTAATCTCTGAGTCTGTGACCGGCAGCTCGCAATAAAGAGTCGTAACACGATATGAAGCCTTATCTTTGCTATGTTTTCTGTTATGAGTAGATATGTTGGGTTTATCTCAGCGCGTTTCCTGTATCCTCCATAAACTGCTTCTTGCAATCGCCTCTGCAGATGTCAACAGAAGAAGGTTTCTGATTGGTCAAGGCATAAATGGCCCCTATCCAAATAAGAAGCAATAGTGAATCTATTTTTGGTTTACTAAAATAAATGAAGGCTGACTCTGATTACATCCAGTTTTGGGTATCAATATCCTGATTCATGAAAATCTCCCTTGTATGTCAAGATAAGTTACTTTAGGCTGTTAGGCCCACTGGCTGAAATCCAAAACCTTTCAAGCAGCAAAAATAAACACGGGATCGTCTTTGTATAATAGTGAATGTGATGCGAACTTCCTCAGTTCTGGTCAGAACTGAGGAAAATAACGCCTTTCAGCATGAACTTTTTAGTTAACAATGAATTGTTCCACCTGAATAACAGCATTTGAAGAGATGATAATGTCTGTGTTTGACTGGGTCTCTGTCTGTTCATCTGCAGGAGCAAGAGGACCCCAACAAGCTGGCGACCAGCTGGCCGGACTACTACATAGACCGCATTAACTCCATGGCGGCTGTAAGTTCAACTCTGTTCTCTTTCTTTGACTCTAAAAAGCAGATGATTCGGGAAAGTGCCGGAATGGAGCATTCAGACGCAGACTGTCCAGCGTTTAGAGAAACTGCAAAAAAAACCCAGATCTGCCTCAGACAGCATGTGAAATGTTGAAGTTCCTGACAGCACAGTTTGGAAAAGAGACAGAGCAGAGACTAATGGAGATGTAGCAGCATAAACACCTCAAACCAGCTGTGGGCACGGTGGTGGAGGGCTAATTATACGGGCTCCTTCTGCACCTTGCAGCTTTTGAGTCCAACGTGAACTATTCCTGAGACCAAAGCATTCAAATGTGTCAAATGTGAGAAGATCTGTTTGACAGCTAAAGCTTGGCTGAAACTGAGTCAATACCAGGACGATGGCACCAAACTCAGCATCGGATCTACGACAGAAGCTCTGAAAGAGAGAAAAATCGAGGTGTTTGAATGCTCCAGTCAGTATATTTTCACATGACAGTGCACCACTTTATGGAAACATCTGACTCCAAAAAGGTTAAAGTCCTCTCAGCCATTCAGATTCAGACCTCTCTCTCTTGGCAAACTCTCCATCGTCTCCCTGCTTACTGCCGGCCATAGTCACATGACCACATTCCTCCACTGTGACCCCAGCATTCACACACACTGTGATGACAAACAGGCCATTTAGACACTCAGCAGTTTAGCGAGTGGGAATGGCTGGGAGAGACGCAGAGCCTAGCCCAGATGACAGTATTCATTATTTCTAGCCAGCATGGCTGCCAGTAAAAGCGGCGTGATACCTTCAAAGACCACTCTGCCCACATCTCACCGGCATTTAAAGACGTGTCCTAATGGGATTTTTGCAGTATTCGAAACACGCAGCCGCTGGGGTGTTTGCGTCGAAGAATTTTGACGGGGAATTTCTGTTCGGACAACTTTTTGGCTCCGACATGTTTAGAGATCATAAAAAAAGTGACATTTTAAGAGAATGTAAGCTTGAGATTTAGAGAGGAGCACTCCGATTTTACAATTCCAACTTGACTTGTTTTCTTTTTTTCATCCACTAAACCAAGTTTTTCAAGGCCATGAATCAGATGAACTGCTCAGTTTTTCAGACTACCATAAACACAAAGTTGAAAAAAAAAAAAATAATGGCATTAATGTCTGTTTATGGACATGTTGTTTATTTTTTCTGGCCAACACGCTTGCAGCTACAGGCGGCTGTTTCTGTTTACCGGCCTCTCTGGGTGGAAGGGAATAAGCCCCTGAACATCACACCAGTGCTTAGGCTTTGCCTTGATGTCTGGAGAAATAGTCTTCCACTGACAGGCTGAGACAGCACACACACTCGTGCAAACCGTGGAAGGCGAGCGCACGGAGACTGCTGATTTGTGAGCTGCCAAAAAATGTGAAATCCACCAGGGCTGCTGCAGTGCCTCTGTGCTATTAGGTGTCAGACATGCTGTCAGAGTTATGCTACAGTCTTTCTTTTGTGCTGTGTCTCCAGCTAAACTCCGTTTTTGCACATCATTCAAGCACAGTCTTTGTATATATATATATATGGAGTTTTTAAATGTGGATATTTCAAACAAAGAAATCCACTTTTTTTCAACTTCTTTCTACTTGTTTCACTTGTTCACACACATATTTTGACATATATTGTCCCAGTCCCTTTATATTTCTTAGAAGTTTCCAACCCCTTGTGATTTAATTAATAACTAAATTTTCAATAATAACAAAAAACCTCACGGTCAACTCTTTGAAAAGAAAAAATGGCTATTTTGTGGGATATGAAAATAGGAATTTGCCAGAAAATAATCAAATTTTGTAGCTGTTACAGTCCAAAGAGACTAAATTGCCCCTTTTTTTAACTGACAATCAGCAGCTTCTTCCAGTATTGCTGTGTGGGGCTGATATCCTTGGTCCAGTTAAGGATACTGTTCAAATGAACTCAGAAACTTGTGTTAAAGCGTAACACCCTCCATTCACACTGCTGGACTTACAGCTTGTCCCCTGACAGGTCCTAGTTAAACAGTTTTAAATACACTTTTGGCAGAAATAACGAACAAGCCACTTCTAACAAAGAGGAAATATTGATTCAGCCTGTTTCAGTGCCTGCACCCAAAAGCGTTTAAACACACCACTTCAGGTGTGAAAATAGTAGGAAAATCTATTCAAACCAGCTAAAGAGACTTTGATCAGTTTGCAAAATTTTCCCATCAACCTTCTTCCACAGTGCAAACACAATAGCCGAAGCAGAGTCCAAACTAACAATTGTTCAAAGGATTTTTCGGCATGCTTTCAGTTATTGTTACAGCCTATCTGGATTGTAATGGTGCCATTAAAAAGAACTGCTCTAATATCAAGGGATGAAACTTGGAAAAAAAAAGCCTGTTATGTGATTTAGAGATGTGGATTTACTTTCATAAGAATCTAACAATTTAGAAATTCTCCAGTATTTATTCTCATCCTTCTCAAATTTTTGCACAAGGATTCTTTTGTTTCCGAGTCCCGCGTTGTGTTCCATTATTCACCAGTAGAGCAGCTTCCTTCCTTTTTCCAAGTTTTTCATCTCTACTACCAGCTCCCCATCTGCTCTCCACTTGTGCTGCAGACAGCATCTTCATAAGAGATCCATTACTTCATGTTTTGGCTCGTGAGCGCGCTCACATGGGACAGACCTTCTACAGTAGCTGAGTTATGGGATGATGTCACTTTGGCTTTGCCGGCTGGAGGAACTGCTTACAAAAAGCATCTTGATGTTCATTCATAAAATCGTGTCAGGGCCCGGAGAATGTTCACCGGCCACACGGCGATAATTCAATGTCCCCGTGCCTCTGAAAACAGCTTTCTCCAGATCTCAAAACCTAACCTGTAAAACAGCCGTTTGATTGGATTAGCTTATTCAACCCATACATATGTACCCATATATACAGCATAATCACATGCTAATGACTTAATAACTACCATAAACAACTAAACTTAACAGAATAACCAATATTTTGTGGAAAAAAAGACAAGAATGTGCTCTGAAAAGAATCTGCAGACCTGTTCTGTCTGGTCTTTATTGTATACTTTACTTTCCCAGTTTAGGTTTAGCCTTGATTGACTTTTTTTTTTTCTTTTGTCCTTATTTGTACTGAAGGCATTCTCTTGATTTTGTGTATCGGTGATCCATGTGGTCCAGATTAAGATTCAGATGAGCCCCAATCATCGCTCAGTTAACAGTGCCCTGACTAGCTCTGAGGCATAGCTCTGACTCTGGGGGGCACTTCCCATAATAAGGATTTAGGGAAATACCATCTGCTGGTTTACCAACAGCCCATAATGGTAACCTTGTGTGCATGTTGGCCGCAGGTATGAAAGAGCTTACTAATAGCAGATGTAGGAAGGAGTCTTTTGGCTAGACTCGTTGACATAAGGAACTGGCTCGCAGCATGACCAAATCATCTCCTCTCCCCCCCCCACATTCAACCAACTCTAAAAGCGGCACAGTCAAAACACTAATTCCATCAACTTACCCACCCACACACATGCTCAATCTTTTTTGACCCAACCGCCCCCCAAAAACACTTCTGCTGTCCAACTTCCCATTCACTGTGAGCACATTGGAGCAACAGAAGCCAGAGCCTTTAGCTCTTGGTTCAGGGTTCCCAAACCATCTGTATTTGAGGCCAAGTTGATGCAATTAGTGTTTTGACTGTGCCGCTTTTAGATTTCATATCATTTTCAGTGGATAAAGTGGAGATGGAAGTCAAACATGCGGCCAGGCTCCAGTTTTCTCTGTAAGATAGCAGAGTGCTGTTGGCCCATTAAGTTCTTTAACGCAACGGATTCATGTAGTAGCACCCTATCTGAACCCAGATGCCCTCTCAAGAGTTTAGGAAACAAAAGGCCCATTTTAAGCAAGGTTTTTTTTCTTTTTTTTGTAACTCAAGTGAATTGGCAGAGCTATGGCAAACATGCTCCACTGCTGAAAATACAAACTTTGAGTAGTTGGCAGGGAGCTTTCACGGAAAACGGCTGCAGAGGCTAAACAGAAGCAGTGACTAATGGGAGCACAGCGGCTCTTTGATGTTATTGATGAAAGCTCTTGAGTGATGCGGGGATGCTTTAACGCTAACTCCGCTTCAGATGTATTTTAGCGTTATCCCCGTTTGTTGTTAGCTTGATTAGTGCTAATTGTCCGCATGAGTTATTTTGGCATGTTTTTGAAGCTTCAAACGGTTCTCGTGAAAGAAGTGGCGCTGAAAGAGGGAAAACGCACACTATTTGATTATTGGGGCCTGAAACATTAGCGGGTAGCAAGATTTTGATTATATATACAAGGTTTAATCGAAACAAGATGTTTTTCTTGTGACGTAAAGGTGGACATAAGCTGCTTCTGTCTAACTGTCGGCAGATTAAGATTTAACATTCCTTAACTTAGAATCACCAGTTCTCAGTGCCAGCTGCACCAACAGGGAAGCCTCATATTAGTTATGTCTGCATTTCTCCCCAGATGCAGACATTGTTCGCCTTTGATGAGGAGGAAATGGAAATGAGGAACAAGGTGGTGGAGGATCTTAAAACAGCACTTCGAACTCAGCCAATGAGGTGAGTGAATCCGTCTAATTACCCCCGGCTGCAGACCAACTGCGTCACATGGCTCCCATTCAAGTCACCCCTCCAAAAAAACTCCAGTTTGGCCTATGGACGGTAATAGCACCCAAACTAATTACAGCTCTGCGTAGATTCCCTTTTTATAAACTGTGTCTCTTGTAATTGGAAATGACCCCTTTTTAATTACCTTAAGTGAACTGCAACGTATGAAATATGACTTTAGACCGGGAGTTTTGCAGTTTTGCTTTCTTTGCCTTTGACTTAGTCATCAGCGGCTGTTAGGCCTCACTCATCACCACATTAAAAAAAAACATTCAAGGACATTGGACATCCCATTAACACAAACCACCTCCCTTATGCCATCAGTAGCTCCTTTGTAGCAGTCCATTAGGCCGTGCCACTCTCGTGATGCAGCGGTCTGGACTAAAGTGGGGCTGTTTAGTTTTCTCATGGGGAGCTATAAAGCGACAGACCTAATGTGGAGAGTGACAAAAACCGTGGACAGCTTTGAAGCCAGGGTCATGTCTGGGTTGTGTGTTTGTAGGCCGAGCGTGTGTGTATGCATGGGTTGCATTTGTATTTTCATCAGCTGTGTCGTTTGTGGTACATTTATTGAGAGTGTCTAGTGTCATTTTGCAAAGGAGAGTTGTGAATATGTGGTTTAATGTAATGCATGTTGTTATATCCTGTAAATCAATTTGAATACAGAGTATAAACAAGCCCAAGCTGAACTGTCCTACAGTTTATGACAGCTGCACGAAATTTTATCTTGATTGTGGTAATTTGGCACGATTTGGGAATTGCAGAGCGTAAGAGGCAATATTTTGATCGCTTTAACAATGCACCAAATTGAGAATGTTTCCTAGTTTGTCGATTGATTCTGCAGATCATAGTTTGAGAGTCTCATCTGTTTCTGTTGGTCTGTTAGTGTTTGTAATTTATTCAATTCATCTGCCGTATTAAAGGAGTCTGTAATAGCTCAATCACCACTCTTCAGTGATGCACCTGCACCCGTGTTTGTGTTCACGGCTGAGTTATGGCTCATTAACAGGCAGATGTTCTTCTTCTCTGGCCTTGATGGGGGGGGTGCAGGTGTGTTCCACAGATTATGGGTGTTAAGGGAAATCCAGGGCGGGTTGTGTTACTGTACCCCCTTTGTCACTTTAGTGACAAATGGGTTTCTGAGACAAAAAAAATGGCTTTAAGATCAGATGTCTGGACGATATCTTGACCGTTTGGCCAACTTTATGGGCCTTTTTCTATCCCCCTGTGGTTCTGCATGCTGCCTTTTTATGGCCGTGTCTTGTGAGACGTGGTGTTGTCTGTCTTTATTCAGCTTTGATTCATGGCCGCCTCCCCCCCGCCTTCCCTCTGGCATTTAACGGAGGCAGCTGGGCCTGGTTTTGAAGAGGGGCCCTTGTTGCCCTCAGCTTGCTCTGCAGGGCCACAAGACCCAAACACATGGTGGGTATGCGGGTGCCAGGCAGAGCGCACAAAAAGAGCACATTGTCAGCAAGCCACCCGCTGGTGTCACACAAACACACACACACAAACAGACCCAAACACACTCAAACACACAGGCCGATAATTTACATGACAAGGTGGCATGCCATGCTATTTATCGTGTTACTGTATATAGAACATGATATGAACACAGCCTGAAGGGCTCTTTGACGGTGGACCACTTCCTAATCTCTCCATCCTCCCTGTGGAACCTTTAACTGGACCAAACTTGTGGTCATCTTTAACCTCTTATTAGGTGAAATCACAGAGAGAAAGTCCTAATTCGATTTCCATCACGTGGAAACTGGACAGTGACATTATTAATAACGGTTGTGAGTATTATAATCTAAATACAAAAAAAATCTGATCAGATATAAGTCAATATATAAAGCATGTAGCAAAACCTAAATTTCAAGCACTTACATTTGTTATTAAAAGCTTTTCCCAATAACTCTAAAATCAAATCAACATTGATTTAGATTTCCAGGTCAGCCTAATTGAAATACAGACATGAATCTTGTCTCTAATGATGATTCTGTAGCTGAGCGGGCTTGTTTGTCTTTTATGTCGGGTGGGTCAATGTCCAGTCCCTCTTTGCTATGAAATGCCCAGCATGCCCCCATTGACCAATACCACACAGCATTGTGTGAAAGTATCCGACTCGATCCTTTTCACATTTCAAATGATGACAAAGCCATCATGGTCCACCTGTTTTGCGTTCCTTTGTACTTGCAGAGATGTCTAACAGATATCAGGGCAGCGGGTTTTGAGTTTCCATTGCACGGTAACGGCTATTTCAGAGACCACCATCATATATCAGGCTGTCACCTTGTAGCTGTAGCTCCCTTTACCAGCGTGGCAGTTTCCCAGAAACTGCACGCAATGCGTGGCATTTCAACGATTTTACACACACGTCTGATGTTTGAAAATGTCCCGTTAATCAAATGTATTTTTGCCAGAGGTTTTTGTTTTGTTTAGCATCTGTCAAATGGAGCTAGCTTTGTGTGTTTACTCGCTTAGAGCCGAGTCTAAACTAAAAGCACGCATGCGAGGGCTGGCGAGCGGAAACGAGCCGCTGCAGCCATGCAGTCAAACGATTACGTACACAACCTGGTGCGCACTTCGTTTCGGCTTCTAAATATTTGAATACGGACGCTCACTGGCGGTATTTTAGTTATGCGGTTAAGTGTACTTGCATAACCGTTGGCCTGCGGAGTTATCTGCACATCTGTGCTGATGTTTAGGAGTTCTGTGCGTGCATTCTTGCATGTGAGACGTGACATCCTTCAATCGCTGCCATTTCAGTTGTGAAATGAATGCGGGGGGCGGGGGGCGGGGGGAGGGGGGGTGATGATTTCCTTTCGGGTCACTGAGGCCGCGCTGGCCCAGAATGCACTGCAGTCCAGTAGAGCATCTCAATGCTTCCCTGGACGGTTGTCTGGACGTCGTTTCTGCTAATCTCTTCCAGCAAGAATATTGACTCGAGCCCTCTGTAGCTGTTCCCCGCGCTGCTGTGTCAATAACCCGCTACCAACACACGCAGATATTATTATTCCTCCAAATATTTTACCGCCAAATCTCTCGCATCTTTCACAGATTCCGCTTAACAGAGAGCCGGGCTTTCTGTTTTCACATCATTACTAAATACATAAGCAAAAAGAACAGAATGTCACACCTTTAAGGACGCCTGGATGATGCAGTCTGTTTGGCTTCTGTCAAAAGGCACACACCCTCCCATAGGAACTTAGAAATGAAGGGGGGGGTCCCTGTTTCAAGTTCTACTTCCTGCTGCAATCATGGCATTAATGACTTAAGAGGTGCAAACTGTACATACAATAAGGATTAAGCCTTTAGGGCTTAAAAATTGCAGTGGGAAGATTTTTTTATTTACAATTTTAAGGCGATTAAGTTTACAGATGTAAAGTTTCTATATCTGATTGATATGTTTTTTTGTTTGTTTGTTAAAACTGTTTAGGGGAAAGTGACCCAACCTTACTTTTATTTAAAAAAAACAGATTCCTGTGAATTTCTTGGACTCAGTTTCTGATTTAAGTCTTGTTAACACAGTATGATGTTCATTTCTGGAAACCTCAGCCTCAAAAGGAAGATGGACTGCTTTAGTTCTGTCACAGGTTTGCAGTGTTGTGTGTTTTTCAATTCATTTACAAGTCACAGTAGTTATTGTAAAAGCAGGGCCTGATTGGGACTAACTGACCATTCATGGACTGCTCCCTGCGGATTTACCAATAAACCTCCTCCATGAGAGCCATTCTATCCATGCCATTAAAATACTTCACACATATTTATCACAGATGTGTACCTTGGCCAGAAGATTTATTGTATTCTGTACATGTGTCAGTTTTAAGTGTGTTGTCCTTTGTTCAGACTTTATTTTACCTCGGTTATACACCGGGCCTCACAAGTAAAATTTATTAGAGTGAGAGCTGTGCTGATATCGGATGACTTACCCTCTACACCTCACTCCGTTGGCTTTAATCGGCTCCACTGAAAACCCTCCGGCTTCCATTCACATTCAGGCCCCTTTTTATACTCCAACGAGACGTGTGTGTGTGAATGCATGCGTGTCCCTGGATGTAGGTGAGTGGGTGTTTGAAGGAGATAAGTGTGCATGAATGTGGCGATGACACGGAGGGTGGAAGAGGGGAGCACATGATCTCTGGAGTTTTGTGCGTGTGGAGGCCCAGGACTCGGATAAGTTGGTGCGGTTAAGCTCTGAGGCAGACTGTCTGCCACACAGGGGTCATCCTCAGTTCACAAAAGAAAAAAAAAAAGTTGTGCTGCTAAAACCTTAAAAAATCCATTTAGCCGGGCTCAAGTTTTAGAATTTAAATTTGAGCATCTGGTTTAGCTTTCCGGTCCGTCCTGCTCATTAAGAACGTTGCCTGCCTCTGGTGGAGGGGTTTTCCGCTTTTTGGATTAATAGAAATTGCATGATACTCAAAAACCGGCTAGCATTGGCTTATTTAATTATGCAATAAAAGGAAAACATCCCATGGCTGCGTTTCAATTTCAATTTGCTGCCAACCTGACGATACCTTTGACCAAACTTAACCTAAACCTAAAGTTTTTGTCTTTTTTTTTGTGTCTTTTCAAATTGTGCTGCTATGCTTTTTCCCCTTTGCATGAATATCTGTGTGAGTCTGTTTTTGTGTGTGTGTGTGTGTGTGTGTGTGGTTGGCTTACCTTCAGTAATGTTCAACAGCTCCGTCTCTGCACATGTAGCATGCAGCAGTAGTTGAGCTCTTGCTGTTTGGAAACCCGGTGGGTTTTAAAGTATGCAGCGCTGTTAGGAGTGAAAAAGAAAAGGAATCAGATCTGCACACCAGTCGGGTGAGCGTGAATGTCAGCGGATGGAAAAGACACGAGGGGGACTCTAGAGTGAGTTGGAGATGGGATTACTTGATTCAAATGCTCACTGGAGAGGACGTGAAGAGCTGAGGAAGTGGAGGAGAGGATGGTTGGACGGTGGCTCATTAGGTGTAGTCATCAGTGCAGAGGATTGGTCTCAGGTGAATGTACTTTAAGCAGCCATATATGCATACTTTTGCAAATTTCTTCCGTGCATCTGTCCCTCCACTTCCCATGTATAAGCACAGTCAGATGTGTCGGGGTTATGGTGCGTAGTTCGTGCTTGTGTATATGTGTTTTCTGGCAAGTTGTCTGTGATTCGGCAGAGTGAAGCGAAGCAGGCGGCGTGCAAAGCCTTGAATCACGTCCATCCTTTTGAACCCAAACTCCAAGAGCAACATCTCTCGCCCTCCTGCTTTCCATACATTAATCACAAGGATGTTCAGCTTAATTTCTCCTCCACTATGAGGCCTCCCCGAGGTGGGCCCGCACTTCATGAGCAGGCATAGTGATGTTGCTGCTTTCTGAGCTGGCCAAACACTTGTCACTAACATAAAATGTGTATCTATTACACTTGGATCAGTTCTCCATTGGTCCAACTCCAACGTCTGTCTTAAATCTAAATCAAGTCATACCTAATACATTGCGTTTATTTTCGCCACCTTGGTGCAGAAGCATCTGCGCTCAAACAAGAAGCACATTGTCTTTTGAATGTCTCTGGAGTGTGAGTGATGCTGAAGATATGGATGCATAGTTAAGAATAGTTGATTGTATGCGTGCGTTCATGTTGAATGCATCTAGGAAGTCGGAGGCATGCCTGTGCCAGGTAGAAAAACTGTGTGTGCGAGCATCTGCTAGAGATCAGGGACTGATATATTGAGCAATTTAAATGATGTTGGTGAGATCATCTACATTTTTTGCATTTTTCTCCTTGTTCGTGCAAAGGCTGCGGGGTGGACTGCTCACGTCTTATTGCATTAAAACGAAGCATCTGTGACAATGAGTAGAATTAGATTTGAGCTCCCAGCTCCTTTTGTTCCTGTTTCCCCTTTCAATCCATCCTTCTTTCCTCCTCCCTCTGTGTGTCTTTGCCTCCTCTGTCTTCTCCCCTCTCTGTCTCACAAACCCTTGTTTGTTTGAATCACTGTACGGGGCCTATCCGGAATCTTCCTGAGTGGGAAGGACATTTACGAAACGGCACGCACTGTGCTCTCTGGACGTGACATCCTTCAATGTTTACGTCTCTCCTACAGAGGTCAATGACTCGCTGCTTCCAGATTAGTTACTCTAATGAGGACTGTGAGCAGCAGCTTATTGTGATCTGGACGTGCCAACTCGGAATGGGTTAATGATCATTTTGATGTGAGGAAAATATTCCAAATGAAACATGTGGCTTTGTTGGTATGGGAGTAAGGGTTTCCTTATCTTAAGTGAAGCACAGCACATCTTTCATTCATCAAAACTGAATGATACGTCAGCTAAAACACTGACGACTACTTAACTATTAAACTACTAACTTTTCCGTATCTCACCCGTTTCTATCTTATTCTTTCTCTCCGCCTCCAGGTTTGTCACGCGCTTCATCGAGCTGGACGGCCTCACGTGCCTCCTGAACTTCCTGCGCAGCATGGACTACGAGACGTCGGAGAGCCGCGTCCACACCTCCATCATCGGCTGCATCAAGGCCCTGATGAACAACTCCCAGGGCCGCGCGCACGTGCTGGCCCACCCGCAGAGCATCAACACCATCTCCCAGAGTCTGCGGACGGAGAACGTCAAGACCAAAGTGGCCGTGCTGGAGATCCTCGGGGCCGTTTGCCTGGTGCCCGACGGGCACAAGAAGGTGTTGCAGGCCATGGCACATTACCAGAAATACGCTGCTGAGAGGACTCGTTTTCAGGTACAGAACAGTGAAAACATATATATATTTGAGGTTAAAAGTTGCCACATTCCTGTTACTTTGGGTCATGTTGTACAAATACAATTAAAGAGCTTACAGGAGAGCTGCAGACGCAATATTTCAGGTTAATTCTCTGATAAATCAAGCTGTGGTCATTTTGAAAAGCCGAATAGTTGTATTGCAGAACCTCGTACAGATGGCCTCAGGTTAGGTAAACATACAATCAATATTAGAGACAAGTGCCTTTGCCTGGTCTTTACCTGGTGCCTGACGGGCACAAGAAGGTGTTGCAGGCCATGGCACATTACCAGAAATATGCTGCTGAGAGGACTCGTTTTCAGGTACAGAACAGTGAAAAAACAAAATATATTGAGGTTAAAAGTTGCCACATTCCTGTTACTTTGGGTCATGTTGTACAAATACAATTAAAGAGCTTACAGGAGAGCTGCAGACACAATATTTCAGGTTAATTCTCTGATAAATCAAGCTGTGGTCATTTTGAAAAGCTGAATAGTTGTATTGCAGAACCTCAGGTTAGGTAAACATGCAATCAATATTAGAGACAAGTGAGGAATGGTAAACTTATGGAGGTGGCAGCATGGTGAGTGCTTTAGTAAGTAGCAGGACTGAGTCAACAATCCACTTCATACACGTCCCCTGGGGGGGGGGGGTGCAGTAAATCATGCCACCTCAGGCTAAGCTAACACTACATGAGCTGAATGATTAAGGATGTCTGAGGCCTTTTAATGTTGCTTTGAGTTATGATTAAGCTACTGAAGTATGTTAAGGGCCAGTTTACAAGGTAGTTAAGAGTTGGAGAGCAAAACAGTGACCCTGTGTTACCGCCGTGTTCTCTTCACAGTTTGTTGCTCCGATTTTCAGCATTGAGATGTATTTGAGCCGACATGTGCTCGCTGACCAACTTTTTCCGTCTACCCTGACTATCCAGACGCTGCTGAACGAGCTGGACCGGAGCACGGGCCGCTACAGAGATGAGGTCAACCTAAAGACGGCCATCATGTCCTTCATCAACGCTGTTCTCAACGCCGGCGCCGGAGAGGTGTGCAGGCGCCGCCACGGGCCCTTTGAGCAAACGGTTTCAGCTCAGAATGAAAGCTGTGCACTTCTTACATCAAACACACACTGATACAGATCGTACGGTTTTAAATTAGATGTTTTTTTTTGTCGTTGATTAGTACTGCCAATTAAAGCGTCAGGGTGTTAATTTAGCTTTGCATCCAACGCTGTTCTGCTTTAAGAGCTAACCATTTCCCCCCCAAGTGGACTCATAACATATGATTCTCTCTCTCTCATGATCAGCCTTTATAGTATCGGAGTGTATGATCTGCTGTCCAGCCCTCTATTACTTCTCTCTGAGGAGTTAACCAGCTTTCAGATGACTTATAATGGCACTAACTTGGAAATACTTTAGCATCCAACTTCCACTAAAGTGCAAAGTCTTCTTTTCATCACAATTATCCTGTGAGTTCACACACGATTGCTGTTTGTTGTTGAATTTTCAGGATAACCTGGAGTTCCGCCTCCATTTAAGGTACGAGTTCCTGATGTTGGGCATTCAGCCGGTCATTGACAAGCTCAGAGAGCACGAAAACGCCACTTTGGATAGGTAAGCGAGCCACTCTCGTCTTACCAGCACCACTGCTTGCAGGATCCTCTTTTATTTATGCATTTTGTGCAGTTAGAAAAACCACTTCTAACTGAACTTCTCCTTCCAGGCATTTAGACTTCTTTGAGATGGTGCGGAATGAAGATGACTCTGAGCTGGCCAAACGGTTTGATATGGTGAGTAGCTTATTACAGATTAACGCGAGCGACGTTTCTGCCTATAACACGCGAATGGACTAACAAGAAGCTTAAGTGAGTGTGTATGAAATTCTTTCTTTTCAGAGCCATGTAGACACAAAGAGTGCCGGCGCCATGTTTGAGTTGGTGAAGAAGAAACTGAGCCACACAGACGCCTATCCACACCTCCTCTCCATCCTCCAGCACTGCCTGCAGATGCCGTGTGAGTAAAACGTGGAGCTTTTTCTCTTTTTTTTCACATTCGTCATAACTGAGCCGTGCCTCACGCAGGTTTGTCCGGCCGAGCTTTCTAAACCGTCTTTTCACCGCGCGCAGATAAGCGTGGAGGCGGCAGCCTGCAGCACTGGCAGCTCTTGGACAGGATCCTCCAGCAGATCGTCCTGCAGGACGAGAAGGGAGAGGATCCTGACCTCGCCCCTCTGGACAACTTCAGCGTTAAGAACATCATTCGCATGTAAGTAAAACACACACTGATCACTGATGCGCTTATATCGCACTTCAGTGGACTCGGGATTTGCTCACGATGCATTTTGGTGTTGATACTTTTACTTGAATTATCTGAAATTACAGATTCAGTTTGTAATTCAGTGAGAACTGATTTATAACCTCCTTTTCTGTCAATGAACTGGATGAATAATGACTGTGGTTCAGGTACTGTACGTCCTGTCTGTTTTTTCCAAAAGTTCCCCCAACGTCGTGAACGTGCTCAGATTCTTGGAGAAACTTTTTATTGAATACATCCGGCCAGCATATTTTTCAGCCCAGATCAAAGCCCGATCTCGACATAAAGAGGTGTAAGAAAAGGAAAAAGCAGAACGCCAAATCTGCTAAATCAGCCGAGCACGGGCTGTACGACGACAAGCCCCTCGGTGTCCTCAGGTAGAAGACCTGGTTCTCCTTTTTCGTGGCCTGTGATGGGAACAGGCACAGCAAGAAGAGGCGGTATGAAAGAGCCAGCAGGGGGTCGGAGGCTGGATCGGAGGAAGGCTCACTCTGAGCGTAAAGCCAGAGATCAAAAGAAAATGGCTCTAATCGCATTAAGAGGACTCATCGGCCAAGTCAGCCGTGTTCAGGGGCAGCGATGCGGGAACTCTGGTTCGTGTGGGAGATGACAGGGAGAAGCAATCATTCCGCGAAGAAACATTACACTTTTCGAAGTGGAAGTAAAAGTTGTGCATGTGTCACTGCGGCTGTTTGCTCAGGGAATTTTTTCCAAATGATCATTGGCTTTTGCTGGGTTTTAGTGGTCGGCTTTTCTCTGGATTTTGAAATGAATCTGCTCTCGTGTTTAGAAAACCAAAGAGTGGATTTTGAGCGGTGTGTAGGTTGTGTTAAGAGATCACATTTGGAGCTTTAGCGGGTGTTTTTTCTCTCCATTTCGCCCTCAGTTTCTCTTTCTGACAGGCTGTCATTCTTTCTTTCAGCGTGTTTCTTCTCCTTCACTTTCCCCCAACGATGTTATGTTTAAACCGCGCTCGCGATCGGTGATTAATGTGTTTAGTCTCCGCCGTGAAAGCGCCATAAAACATGCAGCATGGGTACACCTTGGCCCCCGCCTGCCTCGGCTTTGTTCGCTAACTCAGCCGCCATTGTTTTTGCAATCAGCAATCACACTTGAGTGCAATCCTTTCCAGCGGTGGACGGAGAGCGATGCTGAGCCCCGGCGTTCATTCCTGCCCCTCACAGATCCATCACGGCTCCGCCCGAGCCTCATCGCGTTTCCATAAACTCTCCGGGAGTAAATTACGCCTGGAAAAAAGAGTGCACGAACCGAGGTTTCCTCATTGTGTTGGCGGCGTGCCGGTTTAATGGCTGAAAACCTGCGGCTCGTGCCGTGACGCCTCAAAGGGGAGGAGGGGGCACGTTAAAACAACTGTTAAAACAACTGGCAGACGAAGTCATTCATCATCTGCGGTCCCCATGACGACGGCTCTGACCACTCACACGTGTGCCTGGCCTGAAATTAACGCCTTTGTACGAAGCCCGTTTTTCCACGGATATGCGAAGGTATTTATTTGAACGCTCGAAAGAGAAAAAGGTTGTGCGTCTTTGAGTGATTCCAACTGGGATTCGAGCAGCTCTGATTTCTGGAACAACCTCTGACAGCCCTGTGAATGAGCATGGGCACCTTGAAGTGATCGATTTGCTTTTAGATCGCTAACCTAATGTGAATTGATTTCGAGGCATTAACTGTGGACCATGGTCACCGTGGATTAAACATGAACTGGGTCCCTTTATGAGAATAATTTGCAATGTGTAAACAGTGTTTCTGAAACATGTCTGTTCTCTCAACTCCAGCCACAGCCATCACCAACGCTCAAGGTTTCACTTTCCAGTCTTTCATCATCACAGATAACTTCTTAAACAGTCTCACCGCTAATCTTTCCCTTTGATTGTCTCATCTCAGTTTCCCCTTAAATTCTCACATCAACTGACCTCGCAGTTTAATCCCGAACCCTAAAGCTGAACCAAGCCCCAGATATAATACCTGAAGTAAAAACCTTAAACAAGCGTAACCAGTTTCAGCCCTGCAGGGTTCATGTGAGCACTAATGTTGCCCAACAAAGCTTAAAAGAGCCAACTGCCCCAACTCAGTCAATGCTTGTAATCAGTCTGAGGAAGTCAAGGATTAGTGTCACTGATCAATGGGTTTCCTACCCAGTGATGCAGTTCCCTCAGAGTGGCCCGGCTTGACTTGGTTGGATTGCAGTTGACCCCTATGTGTGAGCTTTTCTTTGTGAATCTGTCTGCTTTTGTGTGCTTAATTTTTGCCTGCCTGATCCCGCAGGCTGGTCAACGAAAATGAGGTGAAACTGTGGCGAGACCAGGCAGAGAAGTTCAGGAAAGGTAGGATTTGTTTTGGTCTCCATGACTTTTTCCCGCTTCCTTCTGGTCATCACAGTCCTTTTTGACACGACCACTCTGCGTTGATATGCAGATCACGTGGAGCTTCTAGGTAAACTGGAGAGGAAAGAGCGGGAATGTGAGACCAAGACCCAGGAGAAGGAGGACATGATGAAGACTTTGAACAAGATGAAGGACAAGCTGCAGCGTGAAGGCGTGGAGCTGCGCTCGGCCAGGGAGCAAGTGCTGGACCTCTCGTCACGCATCAGCGACATAGCTGTGAGCAGAGCGGCTTTTTGGGATCAGATCACCAATCTGCATTCATAAAAAAAACAAATCTACAAGTGATTGAAGAACAATGCTTGAAACATGTCTGCTCTTCTGTTTTAAAAGGAGCTCTGTGTTGCACTCCCAGTAAAGTTTGGTCCATGCTGTGTTAGTCCAGCTCACTGTGGACATGGGACCTGTCAGCATGGACTCTAAATAATCGCTAAAAAACAGATGCGATTACTTGTCGCACAGGTTTACGCTCCTTGCTGCTGATTGAACTCAGTTTACGCTGGCTGACACCTGGAGCTTTGTTTTACAAGTCAGCAGCCACTGGTTACACTTTATTTTTCAACTCGGCTTTGCTATAGCCCAGATAAATGTGACGTTGATAGCTCCCAGCTGAATCCTGGCTGTCTTTCTTTAGACGTGGCCGTCCTTTTAAGGACTGGGCTGTTTTTTTTAAACACTTTTAAGGACTTTTAAATACTTTAGTAAACTTGCTGAACACGCCCTGAGAAAAAAATCTGTCTCTGTTGCACAAATACAGAGAATCTGGTTTACAGTGGGGGAAATAAGTAATTGACCCCTTGCTGATTTTGCAGGTTTGCCCACTTACAAAGAATGCCTATTTTTCCTCATCAGATAGTTATCAATTTTTTATAAATTCACATGATGTGATTTTCTGGAATTTTCTTTGGGATTCTGTCTCTCACTTTTAGAATGTACATATGATTAAAGTTATAGATTGTTGCATTCTTTGTAAGTGGGCAAACCTGAAAAATCAGCAAGGGGTCAAATACTTATTTCCCCCACTGTAATTATCCACAGATGCTTTAGAAAATGAGGAAGCTGTACCTAAATTGATCAAAGCATGTAGGCATTGCATTAAGAAAGTTATTTGAAAGAGAATGTTTGATTTAAAAAATGCATATCTGCAAAACTACTAGACCATATTAGCATCAGCAATAAGACAGTTTACACGTATTTTAGAGTCAGCTTTAGCTGCTTTCAACAGAATTTTTGAGGAAAGTCGATGCAATTCTTCCATATGATAACTTTCTCTTCTTCTTTCTTTCAGCAGGGCGGCAGTGTGTGTCTGCCCCCTCCTCTCCCCCCTCCCGGGGGTCCCATGGCCCCCCCACCACCACCTATGGCAGGTGGTTTTCCTCCACCTCCGCCTCCCCTTCCCTTTAGCTGCCCCCCTCCCCCACCGCCTCCTCCTCCGCCCGGTGCACCGCCTCCTCCACCCGGGGCCCCTCCCATTTTCGGAGCCCCGCCCCCGCCGATGCCCTCGTCGTTCAGCTCCATGAGCACCATGCGCACGAAATCCATCCCTCAGCCCTCTCACCCGCTCAAGTCCTTCAACTGGGCCAAACTTGGAGAGGTGAGAGATTACTGTTACACTTTTACCTTTCACATTTCGCAATGGTAAAAGATGTCACGGACTATGCTAACTGGAGCATATTGCTCACAGTTGCACAGTTCAAACCGAGCCCAGAATCTTTTAGTCACTTTTACCGTATACAAAACCAATGTGCTCATCCCCCAGCCTTCAGAATCACCGTGTAGATGTTAAAACTTTGCGCTCTTCCGTCCTGTTCCAGAACTCGATCAATGGCACGATCTGGAACGACATCGACGACCTGCGAGCCTTCAAGATCCTCGACCTGAAGGACATAGAGAAGATGTTTTCGGCGTATCAGAGACAGCAGGTCTGGAGTGGTCTGTGCTCTGCAGTATTCTGAAATCCAGTTATGGGACGCGCAGTTTAACCCTTTAAAGCCCGATCCAAGAATAAAACAAAACAGAAACTTACTTTTTTTTTGTTTTAAGTCTATATTTGGCCCTTTAACAAAATTATGTAAAAAGAAAAAAGAAAAATACATTTTTAATATTAATCATTTATTACAATGGGATAAGTCAAGATTATTTTTTGTGTAATCTTCTGCCCCCTGTTATCAGGTATATCTGATTGTGTCCAATAGGATTTTGAGCAAAGTTTTTACCATTAAATTATGCAAAAGGTGTCAGACGCAAAACATTTTTAGAAACCTTATGTATAAATTACAGATATCATTACAATTATGATATGTTTGGCATTACAGGGTTAATGTGGTGGGCATGTTCTAAATGTAGCTCGATGAGTCGAGTTTTAGGGCCTTTATGGCCCTGGTTCTTGAACTGGAGAGAGTGTGTGCGGGATGCTTTCAGAGGTGTTTCTGGAGAAGCCACGAACCGGCTCCAGGCTCACACGAGCAGCTGTTCACTGCTGAATGCTTCATTGTAGAGACGCCGCAGACCTCAAGCTTCCGCTGGTGTCTACAGAGCGTTTGTGTGAGAACTGTCTGGGTCTTCGTGGGCTCATGAATCAGGACGGTGCCAAGTCATGAGGAGTCACGATACTTGAAAACAGGAAACTTTTCAGCGATACGAGCACTAAAATAAAGAGACTGTTCAGTAACTTATGTCAAACCACTGACTAACTAATAGGATAATTACAGGATGTGTGCTCCTGTGGCAGTGCCATACAGTACGTAGCAATTACTCTCCTGTGTGTTACAAGCTAATTGCACACTTGTCGTGTGATAATATTGGGTGCAATTGCGCAAACTGATATATTACGCTGCTTTAAATTGGTTTAAGTGGAGAGTTAATGTGCCCTAATTGGTCTCCAAGTAATCACAGTTTAAATTGAAGGCTTTACAACCCTATGGAAGAGCAGTAAGCCGTCTCTGTTGAGACATTAGCATTGTTGAATTCCTGTCTAATGTCTTTTACAGCCTTCTGCGAAAGCAGTCTGACAGCTAAAAGCACAACATCCCTTTGCAACCTTTTATTAAAGAGTAATGGCTCGTTCGAGGTTGTTCCCGACAGTGACTTGGGAGCGGGTGTTTATTTACACAGTGCAGGTTTACGCTGGCACACACAAACACTTAAATGCAGATCCCAGTGGATACAACCACATAAAAACCCAACATCTTCCTGGCTTTGACAGCTCAGCTCCATTTGGCAGGACTGGTATCCAGTTCAAATGTAACTGGGCAACGCTGCAGTGTGTGCAGTTTTTTGAGAATTGGGCTTTTGTTTACATTTTTACCCTGTATAGGATTAGCTACCAAAGTCATTTTTCTGGGTTTTTGATTTTCCATGTCAAGACAGATGTAGATGCAATCAGAATAGTACATTAGAACACTTACGACCTCTTTAAGAAGATGGAAACCAAGCTAGAAAATGGTTTTGGCTCGCCTGTGTTTCAGCCTCTGATATAGATCTCATGAGCCCCCGATGACTTCCACAGTAGAGGATTGTTTTTCTCACATAGATCTTTCTAGCTTCAGCTTGTAGTGTGCATACAGTTGCTGTAGTTCTCTTCTCTAGCCACCAACTTTTTTCCAGCTTGAAGTGCTAATCTTTGCATGTTTTTTTCAATTTTTTTTGTCTCTCTGCACTCTCCGACTTGCCTGGGCAGGACCTGCTAACTAACCAATCCTTCAAACAGGTGAGTTAAAGACCTTCCAGCCTTTCCACCACATGGTTACCTACTTTCGTGGCTTCTGTCACCTTCTCTACTGCAGCACAGCAGCCAGCCAGCGAAGGCAGGGATACTGTCTCTGCATCTTTTCTCCTGATCACGTTTCTGATCTCTAAGAGATATTTGGTCAACATGATATAAGCGGAATGAGCTATAAAATGTGTCAAAAGCAGACTCAAAGTTACATAAGGTTCACATTAGCAGCTGATTATTGATTATTGGGCACAATGTAGGCTCTGGTCAGTGTATAACGTTTGTTCTCTGTATGTTCAGTGTGTATCAGAGAAGATAGTTGGCAGATGTAATCACATCCTGTTCACAGAATCATAGGAAAGAAATATAGCTATTTATAGAAATGTATTTGATTAGTGGGACTTTACCAAGAGGACAACTCCAAAAGGGGTGAGATGATGATGGTTTTGCTCCATACTCAAAGACGTCAGTTTCACCACTCTTTGAAATGGAAATGAAAAGAATTGTAATGCTTCAATAAAACTAAGTTTTTCTGTGCAGTGTAAATCAGATCTGCTGGCCAGTCCACCTCTGATGCTTAAACTGTCTTTAATTTCATATCAAATGAAGATAGTTAAAATCGAGAATTAATTTCTATCCGACTAAAGCAAATGATCTAATAACTTACACAGACTTCAGTTATTCACACAGGTTTCTATTTCATAGCCACGATTATTCAGTCTATGAGCATATTTATTTAGCAATTTATTTGATTATTTCTAATGGGTTTCCATCATTTTGATTATCACTGCCATAGTTGTCATTATTAGTGCATTTTTGGTTAATGTGATTAAATCATCATCATTCATCTGAGTCTGAAAGTTATCATCACAAACCGAGATGGAAAACGATGAACGCAGGCTTTGCACATTAAGCACGACCCAAAAGCATCTCAGGCAGTGTTACGGGATGATTGTTAGAGATGTTGAAGGGTGTAGTTTCCAGTTACATTGGGTCGGGCGAACATGATGCTCACAAGCTGGCACGCTCACCTTTAACGCGTGGGCAGTGAGGCCTTGGCCGGTTACAGCGAATGGGAGTTGTCCCCCTAACCCGTTGCCAACCTCTGCCTGCTGCCAAACACCTCAGGTCAACACGGGCATGGAAAAACGACACTTTCTTTACAAGCGGCATCTGTTTTACATATGTCATACCCAACGGCCTCAAAGAAGAAAGCTTTCTGGCGAACAGGAAACCATCCCAGACCATAAATAGAAAGCCTTTAACAAGCAGTCCCAGTTTTCCCAGATATGTGCTCTCCCTATTCACAGGTTTTAATACTAAATGTGTGAAACATACAGAAATATACAATTGGGTCCACTGGGAATTTTACAGATATGCTTACATTGCGTTTTATTTAGCGTCTTATCAAAGGTCTGATGTGGATTTTTGTGTGACATCTTCAATGCCTGACATTTAAAGTCTGTATCTCAGAAAACAGGTCAGGCAACTTGATCTGAGGCGTTTTTATTGAACATGTTCTAAGTTAACACCTTGTTAAATCTCTGAGGGGAGCGTCTCTCAGTTACACAAGACACACATGAAAGAGGCATGTTTTTTTATTTTTACATGAGTCCTGGTGATGTAAAATAAGCTGCCGGCTGAACGTGTTTTCTACGGTAATGTTTTCACAGAAAGAAACGGGCTCCATGGATGACATATACGTCAGCACGCGGAAGGTCAAGGAGCTGTCTGTGATCGATGGGAGACGTGCACAGAACTGTGTCATCCTGCTTTCAAAGTAAGGGCTTCCAACCAAAAAGAAACGTTGCATAAAATGCATGCTGGCATGACAATGCAACTGTGTTTCACCCTTTGAGTTAAGAGCTTTTTTCTTTTTTGGCGTAAATGATTCGTATGTCACACATTCATAAGTACTCAAAAACACTCATTTTAAGATCCTTCATAAAGCTTGAAGAAGTGCAGCTGAAATATCACTGCTTTGAAGAATAAATATGAAGACATTTACTCTGTACAGTGAAACCTGGGAAACTATTCTTTTTAGCCCTACAAATTACTAATTAGATTCGCAAAGATTTGCCTTGTCATGTTTAGGGATTAAGGTTGTGTTTATTCAAGAGAAAACTAAATGAAGTTACAGACAAATTTGTCCCAGATTGGATTCATCTAAAAAAGTAGCTTTCTATTATTCAAATTGTGTAAGTGTCCCCATTAAGGCGTATGCAGGATGTAAATAATTGACCCCTTTCCCGAGGGACTCACAGAACATCAGAACCGGAATCAATTGTCATCACTTAAGATCCAGTCGACAATATGGTCAGCATTCATATGTCTCCAAAGAGCAATAGTTCCGAGCCCTTTAGAGAATTTGAATCCCAACCCCCAACCCCCATAGATCAATAAACAGGCTTCCTGACTCCTTTGTGTGTCCGACAAAACAGCAGCACGCTCCCCGAATTCGCTTTCATGTCGATAGCGGATGACTCAGGGGCACAGATGACCCAAATGGGGTCAGCAGATGGTCAATAAGGCTCTGATGCTCAGACTAACAATGCCGTTATTGATCCCAGCCCGGCACACGTAACGCTGATCAGATGCAGTGAAAACAGCTGGCACTGCTCCCGGGGGGTAGTCACTGGTCCAGACTGGTATTCGGCCCACTCATATTCCCTTTTATAGTGCATTAGATGTGATCAGGCCGTGCTTGTTTCCTCTTCAGGTTAAAAATGACAAATGAGGAAATCAAGAGGGCGATACTGGAGATGGATGAGAGAGAAGAGCTCGCCAAAGATATGTTGGAGCAGGTATGAATTATTATTTTTTACATCTATACAGACAAAGTGTTTTTGTCTTTTAAAAAGCAAATCATTAAGGCAAAGTATTTCTGCAGATTAGTAAAGTTAACAAGAAGATTTTTGTATTTTTTTCTTGCTTTTTCTTCCTTTTTTTTAATCTGATATTACAGTTGAAGGTGTTGAGCATGAGTCTTTTGGTTAAGCATTGTTTTACATGTTTGCAGCTGCTTAAATTCATCCCAGAGAAAAGTGACATCGATCTGCTGGAGGAGCACAAACATGAGTTGGAAAGGATGGCCCGGGCCGACCGCTTCCTCTATGAAATGAGCAGGTAGATATAACCATATATTCATACATCACTAAATCACATGACAGTGGTCTTTGGAGATTTGGTAACAGAGTGCCGGTGATTGCTTGTTGATGCTTAAAGCTGTAACTTCCTAGATGTCAGTGAAAGTGTCACTAATGGCTGTATGAACAGATGTGAGGTCTACAGTCACATCAGGCAGTGAAAACACCCTTTTCCCCTGTTAGCCCATCTTCTTTAACAATCTGCTGTGTTTGTAAAGGATAATTAAGTGAAATATAACCCTGTCCGCCTACTTTCCTCTTGACCGCTTCTCCTTTGGTCTGAGGAACATATCTGGGGCTCTTTTTGTTGCCATTTAATATCCCCTTTCCCTCTTTGAAACTCTCCCTCCCTCCTATGGTGAATGCTTTACACCTCCATTTGTCAGCTCTTCGTTTTGATGGGAGTATGCTTTATGATGGTCAGGACAGTGTAAACTGAGAGAAGGAGTTTTACACAATCGGGTGACTTTTTTGCTTTGAAGTTCCACTCCCCTGGAGGCCGATGTAACTGACCTCCCTTTTTTTGCCTTCCTGGCTTTTCTCTCCTCCTGTTACCGCTTTGTTCTCCTCATCAGAATTGACCACTACCAGCATCGACTCCAGGCGCTGTTCTTTAAGAAGAAGTTTGCGGAGCGTTTAGCTGAAATCAAGCCTAAAGTTGAAGGTAAGGACACACACATCAAAGCTTCCGTTAAAAGATATAACGTTTCTGTCATTGTCTAGAAAAGAGAAGACACTCAAGTTCAATAGCAACAACAAACCCTATGAGGACTGCACTGAGGGGACTGATGGAAATGTGTTCATTGGCTTTAAAAACCCATGAGATAGTCTTTGGCATTTAAAGCTCTTCGATAAAAAGGCAGAACATGCTGAAAGTGTATGAAAGCTGTTTTAATCTCAGATATGAATGCATCTATGGTTCAGATCTGTACAGATGTTATTCTTAGACTCATTACAGCCCACTCTGAAGAAAGGCTTGATGGTAATGTTTCATCCATCCATCCATTTTCTGAACCGCTTATTCCCAAATGGGGTCGCGGGGGACTGGAACATATCCCAGTATTCAGTGGGCTAGAGGCAGGGTACACCCTGGACAGGTTAGGGTTAGGGGGTTAGGGTTAGGGGGTTATGGTTAAGGTCCTTGGGGCAATTTGGAATGTCCAATCAACCTTGGATGGTGGGAGGAAGCCGGAGAACCCGGAGAGAACCCACAGACACAGGGAGAACATGCTTAAATTTCTGAAATCTTTAAGATGGTTCAAACTCTACTGTTCCTCATCAGGTTTGCGATCCATTCCAGTCTCTTTGGTTTATCTGAAAGATGGAGTCTTCTCTGATGCTGGTTAACAGTGTTTCTTGGCCTTTTGCATTTGGCCTCAACTAAACTGTACCACCGAAAACCTCCGCTCGCTCCTAAAATAGCGCTGCTGCTTGGATCGGATTTTGCAGAATCAGATTTCATGTGGGTTATTTTTGGCTGTTCGATCTTTTAGAAAAATCAAGCTTGATGTAATCTGGATATGCCAGGTTAAAAAGAAAAAGATTTCACATACGGTAGCCTTTGTTATTCAACGGAAATACTTAAGAATGATGAAATATTTTAGAAAAAAACAGCATCTTTTATCTGATTAAAACTGTCCAAAAACAGCGCTATTCCCCAAAATCCACAATTGGAGTAGACTAAATTTCGGGAGAAAATGTTTATGGGCGCTACCACAGTCAAATTGCATGCTTACATGCATCTGAGTGTGCACGGTGGTCAACTGTAAATTGGCTCCGTGCAGACTTTCCCCTTCCAACTGGCATCCAGGTTACCAGGGAGGCTGTTGTGGAAAGCTGGCTCGTGTTGAAAGAGAACGTCTCTTCTAAAAACCCCGCAGCACACTTCAAAGACGCGGGGAGAAGCCTCCTACAGCTGCCTACAGAGATGTGTGCGTTTCTGGGATTCTGAGATGAGCAACATCGCGCAATTTTTTTTTTGCCGGCGGCGTTTCGTTTGTGGGGGACAGTGCTGACGGACAGCTCGGCTCGGATCAGCCTGTGTTTCGGAGCGTTTGTCGGGTATTCTTTTCATTCCCGTTTTGAGGTCAATTGTGCATCTTCTGACGTACAGTATGTCGCAGTCCAGGCCGGGAATGGAAAGAAAGCCTCCCCCACTGGATCGAAAAATCCCCTGACCACACAGCTCATCAGCGCCCAGAATAAAAAGAAAAGTCTCATCCCTTTTTTTTTCTTTTTCGTATTATTTTGTCACATAGTCTGGATGAGACCATATTTCCGTGGCCCACCCAGCATGCCGAGTGGAAGCAGGGTGCAGGCTCAATGGTTCCCAAGCATTATCACAGCAGAAAGAACTGGTACAATAACAATGTGGAATTTGTTAATGATTTTCACAGTCACCCTGAGGTTTTCCTCTGCGGAGAAGGGGGGAACCACCTGCGCTCTGCCAGACGACTCTGTTCTCAGGGGGGAGAAATAGACAGCGTCAGGTTATGTTTGGAATATTCCTCTCCAGTTGCTGTTTTATAGATGGAAGAACCTGATGGGTTTCCCCGCCGAGCTGCCCAGTTGTTATGGAGAACACTAATCACTCATCGTGAAAGATGTTAAAAATGAAGGAAATTCTGGGCCGCGTAGAGCTGAGACTTCGGTTTTTTGCGTCTCTCGGGGGGTTTGAGTGAAGTAACAGAGTGGAAGGGGGAACGGTATAGGGCCAATTTGTTATGTAAGATGAAATGTTGGACGTTGCACACTTTGGCCACGTGATCTCTCCAGCTGCTCCTCTCTCTCCATTCTCCTCCAGCCATCCTGAACGCGTCCAGGGAGGTGGTTCGGAGCAAGCGACTGACTCAGATGCTGGAGGTGGTGCTTGCTTTCGGCAATTTCATGAACAAAGGCCAACGGGGTAATGCCTTCGGGTTCAAGGTCTCCAGCCTGAACAAGATCGTGGACACAAAGTCCAGCATAGACAGGTGGGCCACAGAGGCATACATCTAACCTCAGAAATCATGTCTGCCCTGTCACTACTTTCTGAAATGAATCTCTTAATCCAGACATTTTGTGAGATAGTAACTGTTATGTCGAAAGGAAATGCCTAAAGAAAAAAGAAACCCGCGAACAGCATACACCTTCTTGACTTGTCTTCATTAGAACATTAAACATTTCTTGGGTCATTTTGTAACTCCACTCATTTTTTGCAAGCTTGCAGAGACTTCCACATTCAACATTTGTACTCTTTGCATCGCACTTTGCCGCCTCCCTGCCAACCTCATTAATTGGAAGCAATTAGCTTGAATTTACAATTTTAGTAAAACCTTTTTTCCAAAGAAATCATTTCACTCGCCCAAAACCAGCCAACTGCTTTTTTATCCTTTCGTGACGATGCGTGCACGCACGTAACAGAACGGTGTGTGGGACCCCCCCCCCTCCTCTCCGCATCGCCTGTAATGAAATGTTGTCGGCACAGGCGTGGTTGCCGTAGCAACGGGAGCTGCTGGCAGCCTCCGCCGCATGATTTCCCACGGCTCCAATATGTCAAAATGGAAACGCTGATATGGGCTGAGGCAAAGCACGCTCCTGAGTTATTTCTCAGGAACATTTCGGGTATCAAGCAGGTTTGGACTGTGCAACATGCAGAATAAAGACGGTGGTAGCCCAGAATGCACCGCTCAGTGGGGCCTATACTGACCCTCCATATATGGTTTTGGCTTTTCAGTTGCATGTCATGATTTGATTATTACTTCCTTGTTTCCGTGTCAAAGCTTGTTGCTGTGGTAACCCATCAACAATTTCCCCAATAAACTATTATATTTAGCCAGTTTGGACCTAAGGCTGTGTTTAAAGCCGCCTTCCAAAACCAGAGGTTTTTCTGGACATTTTCAAGATGTGTAATACAAACTTTTTATTTTTTCAGCTGTGGCGGAAACTATAAACAAGGATTACAAAAAAGTTTTGAGAGATTAAACTGTTAGTTTTTTTATTTGATTATTAACTTGCTATTATCATCCACATTATCTAAAAAACAACTTCTTTCTTCAAAACAATAATATATAAGTTATACATTTTACATCAGTATATAGAGTTTTTCATTCATTTATCTTCGTCACGTTTGCCAGTTCTTCCTTGTGCACAAAAGAGCAAAGGGGCATAAAACATCATTAAGCAAAAACAAAACAAGGTCCATTAACAACGGAATATAAAACGACATAATTTGCTCAGCAAAACGATCACATGCAAAGGTTATTTTTTTAAAATATATTGTACGGTTGTAATCCTAATCTTCTTTTGTTTTTCATCAGGAGCATAACCATGTTACACTACTTGATCATGATTTTCGAGAAGAACTACCCAGACACGCTGTGCATCCAGCAGGACCTCAGCAGTGTGCCAGTGGCGGCCAAAGTCAAGTGAGTGTACAGCAGATCACTGAGGACATTTGGTGGTGGGTTAGGGTTAGGGTTAAAGCTGAAGTCTCTGACCACCAAAAAGAACTACCTTTTAAATCAAAACACAGTTTTATCGGCCATCTCAGACAGCCTTTTGTCATTTCTTTGCTCTCTCCTCAGTTTGGCGGAGCTGGAAAAAGAAGTGCACAGCATCAAAAGTGGACTGAAGGCTCTCGAGGCGGTGAGTTTGTGTTCGGCATCCTCCCACCGGCTCCGCTGGTGCCTGTAATTCTGTTTTCGGGCGGCACAGAGACACGGACGGCAGGCTGACGTGTGTAGAAGTTCGTGTTGTGCCTCACACGAAGCCGAAGGTTCACCTTTTACGCCTCGCAGAGAACTGATGCGATGAGAAAGAATTTTAATCGGGGATCGACTTTGACGGACCCGTCTTTAGTCTGAAAGTGTCCGTTTTCCTGTCCAGGAGCTGCAGTACCAGCAGAGCAGGACCCGGGAGCGCGGGGATAAGTTTGTGGCTGTGATCGGGGACTTCATCACGGTGGCTGGCTTCAGCTTCTCTGAGCTGGAGGACCAGCTAAGTGAAGCCAAGGACAAGGTAACAGTTCCCCCTCTTCATTTCAAGGGGGCAAATTTTGTGGATGAAAACAAGGGACCAACGAAGCACCGGTTCATATACAGGACTGTCTCAGAAAATTTGAATATTGTGATAAAGTTCTTTATTTTCTGTAACCATAATATCCTATCTCAAAATATTAGAATATCGGATTTTTGAGTTTTCTTCAGCTGTACGGCATAATCAGCGATATTAAAACAATAAAAGGCTTGCGATATTTCAGTTGATTTGTAATGAATCCAGAATGTATGACATTTCATGATTTTTAATTGCATTACAGAAAATAAAGAACTTTATCACAATATTCTAATTTGCTGAGACAGTCCTGTATGTCTGTGTCAAATCTTGGAGACCAAATAGAGCAAAAAGAAAGGGAATTTTTGCACTGTGAAGCCTTTGAATGTCCCTTTTTGTCCAGTGGGATGACCTCAGCAGGATTGGGAAAACCCAGAATTGAAAGAATTAACTGGAATCCCCCCCTCTTCTATTTGTCTTTGTCTCTTTAATTTAGTGTTTTAAATCCACACGCCCTCTTTTTACACCTGAGACAAACGGCCTTTTGAACTCTGCTGGCTCAAGTACTGACGTGTGATGGGATGTATGTAAGCTGAAGATTTCGGTGGGACTGTGGGGGTTGTCAGAGTGATTTAGAGTTGAAAAGATTTATGTAGGCATTCTTAATTCGCAGGCCTTCAGTCAAACTCCATTTAGTGTCTTAACACTTTTAGACTCCAAATCTTCCAGGTTGCTACATCTACCTGGGACCACATTATATGATACCTCATCATCATATAATGTGCTACCGCAATAAATAATTGACATGACTATGGTAAATGCGTGCTGGGCCTCTAAAGGATCGCTGTAGGATAGATGTCCAGAATGAATGGCTCTTGGGTTTCATGTAGATCCCCTTTGCCTAATTATTTGCTCAAGGAGGGGTCAGTAAAAAATAGGGGGGGAAATAGTTTGGACAGGAAAAGAATTCTGGAGAAATCGGGCACCGGTTACTGCCGTAAAACAAAAGAACCTGTGTTCCCTGGCCCAGACTTTAAACACACAGCCGTGTGTGTCTGTGTGTCTGTGTGTGTGTGCGGCTGGTAAGCGGGGAGTCTCACACGTTAACTCAGAGCTCGTCGAGGCCCTTTGACGCTCCGGTGGGTTTCCAATAGAATACAAATATGGAAGTCAGGATGTGTGTTTAAGAAGCTGGAGGATGACTTAAACAGGGCGGGCAGTCCGCCGAGGCCAATAAAGCTCCATGGCAACAAATGTGTGTCCGTCTGCAATAGAGATACACACATGTCTGCCAGACATACGTTACAAAGGATTACAGTCCGCAAAGGTGGTGCCGGTCACTGGCACAGGGGTTGAACAGGTTTGAACTTAACTGCACACCCTCACAGTAGCATGCTCAGGGAATACAGGATTCAAGATGGTTCAAGACTAAAACTCGGTTTTAGACATTTTTAGGTGGAGTGTCAATCAAACAACCTGCAAATCACCATTATAAACACACAAAGATGGAAACAGTGTTCCCATAATTGAAAAAGTGACTAGACAGAGACATAATATGCCAACACCAAATGACAAAACAATGACCAAATAGATAAGAAACTTTGATATCTCTCTAAAAATAAAAAATAATTTTACCTGATAATGCTTTAAAATATCATTTTGTGGCATCAACACAGAAATAACATAGCAACATATGCATGGCAATGTTGTCCTTCCTTTGAATATTCTACTGGAATTGTAGAAAAGGGATCATTGGTATAACCAGTGGGAAGACCAATTATTCAACAAACTAATTAGCTTTATTTCCAGCAATATTTTGACTCTGTTTGAGATGAGTTTGGGTTGCTAGACATGGTATTCCTCATTTCAGTGAGTGTGAGTCTGAGTATTTGTTTACTTATTTAGCACAGACCCGAAGGGACGAAAGGAAACTGTTTTAACCAGACACGTAATAACAAGCGGAGGGATGACGGGGGGTTGCCGTGGAGACGAAGCCTGTAATGATAGGATGGTTTTGCATCCTGAGAAAAGAGCAAACCCTGCTCTGTTTTTTTTCAAAGCACAGACACCCCTCACAGAATACTCAAGAGAAAGGAGTCTGATTTCTAAATAGGAGGAAGACAGATTAGTTTGATTGTGAGTTATAGTAAAAATATTTGGCGTGCAGAAGCTTTACTTGTAATTTGAAATGCTTTTGTTTTCATGTGACGCTTCTATTTAAAGCTGCTTCAATAATTTACAGCGCACATCTGTAAGTTGTTGCAGGCGGTGTTCAGCTCTCAGTCTTTAGTCGTGTTTGCAGCTCTGCAGCCCCTGTAACCGCCCTAATGTTGGTTCATTGTTTTTACTCTACGCTTCACAAAATTATACTTGAGAGGAGAATCTTTTTTTTATACCTTTCTTCTGGAATGAAGATTTTCACCTGAAAAAAAAGTGATGAAACCATTTGGTTGTCTAAAAAAAAATGCAAAAAAAAAACAATTGGAAAAAAAATGGAAAAAAATCACCAAAAAAAAGAAAAAAATATAATAAAACGCAAAAATATAGAAAAAAACTGCAGTCAAACCCGGCCAGAATGTATTGACTCACGTATCTAATTGCAAAGCTTTCCTGGCATCCCGCTGATTTATTTTAAGGTAATTAATCTCCATTGGGTTTTGGAGGGGACTAACTCTGGAGCCTCTTGGTACTATCCAGTATATTGAGTCTCCCTTTGAGGATACTGGTTGGATCTGTGTCTGTGAGCTGCACTGCAGTGCTGAGTGTGAGGGAACTTTTGGCTGCAGGCATCGTGCTGGCAGAGAAAGCTAAACAGCTTGAGCCGAACAGAGAGGACATACGGTGGTCAAATGCAGTCACTCCAGTTCCCTGTGTGTGTTGAACGTTGAACATTAGTTTGTGTTCCGCTGGAATCGTGAGTTTCTTTAGTGTCAAAATGTACTCTGTCCAACAGGACAGACGCGCTTTCAGGACTGCTTCTGGGTCACTTTGTGGCAATCTCTAAACGTAGCATTCATTCTGTGCAGTTCGCCAAATCTCTGAAGCACTTTGGGGAGGAGGAGAGGAGGATGCAGCCCGACGAGTTCTTCGGGATCTTCGACACCTTCTTGCAGTCGTTCGGCGAGGCGCGGCAGGACCTGGAGAACATGCAGCGCCGCAAGGAGGAGGAGGAGCGCAGGGCGCGGATGGAGGCCATGGTGAGACTCGCAGATCAATCCCGGCCGTATTGAACTCTTCTCATGTTCCCGTGCGGTGACCAGTTTTTTCCGCCGCTTTCCCAGCTGAAGGAGCAGAGGGAGCGGGAGCGGCGGGCCAAGAAGGGCGGGGCTTCGGACGAGGTCAGCGGGGAGTTCGACGACCTGGTCTCCGCGCTGCGCTCCGGCGAGGTCTTCGACAAGGACCTGAACAAACTCAAGCGGAACCGCAAACGCTCCGTCAACCAGCTGGTGGAGGGTGGCGGCCGCGAGAGGGCCGTCACCAAGGTGAACTACTAGGCTGGGGGGGGGGGGGGAGGGAAGCGGAAAAAAAAAAAAAAAAACGCTAGACGTCTACACTCTGCCTTGGCGCACAGCTCTTAACACCTTTTAGTCCAGGTCCTGGAACAGTCGCCCCTGACTTTTTGGCGCTGGTGTATGTGACAGCTGGACTGGACATATAGCGACATGCGTGGACAGCTAGACATGCTGCCTTGAAGGATGCTCCACTCCCTGCATTGGTCCTGTAAAAGCTATTTCCAGCCTGTTTGTCCTGAACATCGTACGATCTTGAATTCCGGGATGGATGGATGGGTGAACAGACCACTGTGACACATTGCCCCCATGTCATTTGACTATCTCCTTTAAACACTGTGCTCAAGGTTCTCTAACACTCTTTCCTTCCTAAAAAAACCTTTTCTTTTCCTCTGAAAGCTTCTTTGTGCTGAAAAGGCACCTACAGCTTGGTTATCTGGCTCTACACTCATGGGACACTGGGATCAGATACTTACTTTCTACATAGATTTGAGGCTAAGAGACAGGATTAGAAAAGGGACAATGAGAAAACCAGAGAAAGTGAATTGAGAGGGAACTAAGTCATGCCCTCCACCATCATGTTGCTGCCATTGTTCCCCAGAAAAGAGACGCCTATCGTTCTTCGGTCATAACAAAGAGGGGCCCGCAAGTTCCAGGATGCTTCTGAAGCAGCCAGAAAGAGTCAACGTTGTGAGATTTAACTTTTCGAGAAGATTCATCCCAGTGGATGCAAACAGTGTTCCCCGGAGGAAGATCCCAACTGCCAGTTACACATGGAAAAGAACAAAAACATCTCAAGGAAACAACTCAGCTTGATCCACCCAACGAAGCCGTGACTGTGCCACATGGATCGAGCTTTAGATGGTTTCAGCATTGCTCTGGCATTAAGCAGTGCCAAAGCAAGGAAAAACAACATGTACATGTATTCATACAAAATATACTGCAATTAGGCATTAATATATATTTATATTTAGATGCAGACAAGCTAATTGCAAAGATGTAGAGGTTTTTTACGTTTTGGCATTTTGGGATTTTGTACACACGATGCGTTCTCTGTTGCACGCTCACATCGACGTTGAAGTGGATTCCTATTTCTACACTTTGCGTTTTTGCGCCGCAGAGATAATCGCTTGTCCTGTTTTTTCACATCTTATGTCTTGTTTGCACTGTAGCTTTTCTCGCAAACCTTGCTTTCAAACTGACAAAAGCCAACAAAAGCGTGATCTGATTGAAGTTTACCACGACCAATTTAAACTTGCGGTATACCATTTTGGTATGCTCGAAATATGCCATCAGTTTAACAATCTGCATTCAGTTTCAAAGCTTCATATCTGACTGCATTGTGTTCTTTCAGCCTGTACCGTGTGTAGTATCTATATGAAAGGCTCCTCATACTGCAAATCTTTGTGCAACATGCAATTAGCCTTTACACGTTTTGCAACATCAGGGTACAACAGGGCACTCAAATTTGTGCTTGACTGAAGTCAGTATGACGTTGTAGACTTACAGAACACTACGAGTTTCCTCAGAAAACGATCCAAACCAACATCTGTCCTCGCTGGGCCTCATTTTTCTCAGCTGTTGTTGAAATATAGAGTCTATTTTTTACGATAAAATGTACATAAGCCTTTCCGATGACAGCGGACAGATCGGACGGGGGCCGCTGCTTTTTGTTCGGGGGTCGAATCGTTAACAAGATTTTTGATCCGTTTCTTAAAAGACACAGCAGCTTGCTCCCACAGAAAGCGCTGTAATCTTGGGGCACAGGACAGACTCCCAGGCCTCTTCTCAGGAGAAGAAGATCTGATCGGGTCACATCACATTTTTCATGATTCATTTTTCGTATACAAACAGTAGGTTTATGTAAAAAAAATGTTGCGATCAGTACATTTGTATATTATAGAATTTACTGAATTTACATCTTAAATAATCCATATTAGTCATTCAGCCAACAGAGCCTGTCTGGAAGCTGTCCAGAATTGCAATGGAAGCATTGGAATAAGAGTTATTTCACACATATAATCACTGGATTCGAACAACAGGCCAAAGATTTAAACAGGACATACCCAGTTTATATATTCACAGTCAAAGTAAACAGTCATTTCCATCCATTCTTTACTTTAAGTAAAACATATTCCCACTGTGCTTGTCTCAATGAGCACTTGCTGTACATATACACACAACGTCACAACAAACCACGTACACTTGGCCTCCATTACTGTATGTTAGTATGTCTCACAATGTCCCATCTTGCCCTTCGTTCATACAGCTTGTCTGCTAACTATCTGTAAATGTTCACCTTTAAGTGCCTCAGATCCTGTTTTCACACAAAACATTCCACCGACTGTGTTTTAGTGCTTGTGGCTTTCCAGAGAGAGAGAGATTTTTTTTAGGCACCATGAAAATACATGGTTTGGGGCCACCTTGTGGCCCTAATAGTGTACTTCACCAAAAGGGCCTGACCCCACTCAAAAGTACCCCTAAAAACTCCAAAAATGATTTGTTTGTGGGCACAGAATTTCTTAAGAGAGTTTTTGTTGATTGCCATTGGACAGATGAGTCCCATAGCTTTAATTTTCCCATAGAGAACTCTGTTACTATCATTTAATCTCGAAAGGTTTGAGTTCAGTTTCCTTCAAAACAGAGGGAGATACAAGCTGATATGAGTTTTAGATGGTTCAGTCAGGAGTTTATATCCCTACATTTAAGGTCCAATTAACAATCCCAAATAAGGAAATGGGGATTCCCTCTCCCCAAACCAGCATCCCATGTATAGTTGAACTAACCTCTTTGTCTTTTTAGTTAATCAGACTTAGTATATTGGACTTCAGCAGACCCTTTTGAACTCCTAATTCAGAGCTTTAACCCATTGTCAGTATTAATATGTTGTGTTGTTCTATGTCTGGATTTTTGTTTGTTTTTTTTGGCCATTGACTGGCTGATTTGGAGTATAAAGATGGAAATCAGAAAAAATAAATAAATTAGTAGCTTGTTCAATGCACTTTTACAATGGGATATTTCCATTCGCAGCACCAGATTTGAGGGCTTGGGTCCCTCTTAAGATGAGAAGGGTGCAACGAAAGTGTGGTGCAAATAAAAAACGAAACGAAAAAAAAAAACATGGTGTGTAGGGGATTGAGAAGAAAATGGCAAGTGAGGTTTGAGACTCCGGCTGGACCGCTGGAAATGCATCAATAGTCAGTCTGTTGAGTGGCAGAGGAAGCATTTATGAGGATGTGGAAACAAAGACACAGGCTCCCCCCCCCCCCCCCACAGAGGCTTGTGTTTGAAACCTAACAGAAAACTTTTTAAAAAAAAAGAAAAAAAAGAAGGGTTAGGTCGGAGTATTTTCTGTCACCACCACATTTCTGTCATCACATGCACATGGCGTCATCTGCATGCCAACAGGAGGGTGCACGGAGTTGGATGTTTTGATCGTTTAAAAGAACATTGCTTGCGAAATTGGAACGCACCTGTTTCACCCCAGTTTTCTCTGCCTGAGAAAAACTTGCACCCATTCTTCGAGGTTGTACAATTGTGAGGAGTCAGTATTTTTATGGTTGGAAAAAAATATCCTCCACTGAAAGATGTACAGTTGGAAAGAAAAGCATTTTGTACACCATTGTTGATGTTTGAGATAACATTAAAAAAAGAAGAAAACATTGAGGAATGTTCCATTTTCCTGTAAATTGTACCTCTATTTATTTGCCTTATTTAGTTTGCTATATTTTGTATGTACACACAGCATTACAACAAAATGTCATATTAAAAATATGAATAATTATACTGTGGTCCGTGTATGATGGATAGATCTGAGACTTGTATTAAGAATGGAGTTTTTTTTTCATTTCCATGATTTTATTTTGTTTTGTAATATTTTCTCACCCTGTGTCTTTTGTAGGGTTACAATAAACCTTTGTCCCTGACAACTGTCTGGCCTGACTTTTCTAGTCTCTGCACCTTTATGTTTGGTCAAGTGACTAAATGAAAAATGAACACAAAAACAAAATGGGTGGTTATATCCTATTTAGACTGTTTGGTCAAATATTCTCAAAGCTGATGATGTTTCATTGTCTGAAAAATGGGGCAGAGATGCAAACTGATTCTTCTGGGTAAGAAAAATGACTCCAAAGTTTCCACTTGTGTTTAGGTAAGTTGAATGTGAGGACACTATGTGACTGTGAGCACTAGTTTGTTTCGAATGTTTTCTTGAGATCTTCTTCTCTACAGTTTTGAGATGTTGTTAAGCTCATTGTAATGCTTGAAGATGTCACTTCCCTTAAATAACCTGGAACTTTTTACTTCGTCCTTCAGGTGTTGTCCCAGTTTAGTCCAAGTTTCTCCACTTGGCCCCGTCTCTCCATCTTGCAAAGATAACGCTCCCTTTTCTATATACCTTTTCCAGTGGCGGCTGGTGAAAAAAAATCTTGGTGGGGCTGGTGTGCCAATATATTTCCCTGCCTAACCCAGTACATGCATTCAAGTTAAAAGTCGTAAAATTAGTACAATTCCACAATAATGATTTAATTCCCTTATCAGAATCAGCAGTTTACATATACAGTTAACCATTTGAAGCTATATTAGGTATTATTTTGGAAGGGAACAGTATGAAATACAACACTCAATTTTACTATTTTTCACCAAACACACAAAGTAGGCACACAGGTGGTTAGCTTAACACAGTTTTCCATATGAACTCGTGATATTTCATGTTTCTTAGTTGTTCAGAGAGGTGTTTTAAGTCTGTCTGTCCAGACTGTGTCCACGTCAAATCACTCCGGTCACTTTTAAAAGGGATGCGGGAAAAACATAACAGTGCGTTGGCCGTCCCACAGGCTGTTAGCCAGGACTTACGCTGGAACCAGCTGATGGTAAAAGGCCGGCTGGAGGACTTAGCTTTTTCATTGGTTCGCTGCGTTAAATTTATTTCGGACTTGTCAGGTCCCAGCTTCTTTACGTTTAATTTTTCCACCATTGTCCTTCTCACGTAAGGAGATCTCAG